TCCTGGTGTTCTACAAAACAGCATTGGTGGCTATTCAGGCCATTTCCTATCTGCCTGACCAATATGAAGGATTGCCGTGCTTTCAGCACTCAGACTTTTGCCTTGAGCGAGCTGGAACTTGGTCTGCAAGCAGTTCTTGCTGAGGGTTGTGGACCACTTGTGGTCGCTGGACTTAGCTGGTGAGATGGAATTGATCTTGGAGAAGCTGAGAGCTCAGCTTGGTGGGACTGTCCACTCTATTTGTCTGATTGGATTCACCACAATGAGATGTATCAACGGACATTAAGGCAGATGAAAAATTATTATTGTCTGCCTGACCGAAAACATTTTCTTCTGTTCCAAAACATCTGATTACAGATTTGTCTCTCCCTCTTTCCATGTGGCCTTGAAGGCTGTGGATCTAATTTCTCTGGGGTGTTTACATCACCTTGAGGCTCCTCCTCTACCTCTCCCCCCTCTCACTCTGTCTAATCTGGTCTCCTGATGGTCAATCTGGAGCTGCACAGAATAAACAATTCAACACCAGTGTTCTGAACTATGGCTGAACCACAGGTTTTTCTTTTGGGAGGCTGGGTTCTTTGGACTATTTCCTCTAAACTCATTTACCGTATTTTTCGGACTATAAGCCGTGACTTTTTTCCTGAACTTTGAACCATGCGGCTCATAGACCGGTGCGGCTTATACATGGATTTTTTTCTTCAGCCACCAGGGGGCTCTTATGCTCCATTTGCTTCAACCAAAAGAAAGAAAAAAAAAAGAAAAAAGCGATCGCTTCCACAGCCGACTGTTGTACCAGGAAGCAGCGATTTAAAGATAGTCAATGGCCAAAAACTCATTAAAAGGGGATAAAACAGACATTTTTCACGGTGGATTCTGACCGATAAAAACTTTGGAGCTCAATCCAGGACCAGTTTGTGGATAAACGTCGAGTGAAGAGCCGCGGATCTTTTTTTATCCTCATTGCACTCCCCGTGGATGGAATCCCATGCAGTGATGTATGCTGGAGTGGGAGGGCTTTCCCACCACAGCTTAGAGCCAGCATTACCCCGGGAGGACAGCGACACAGAAAGCAACACTGAACAGATACTGCTGTGTGACGCAGCTTTTCTCAGCTTGTTTAACTCCGACACTGAACAGATACCGCTGTGTGACGCAGCTTTTCTCAGCTTGTTTAACTCCGACACTGAAGAGGAGGACTTCGATGTTTTCAGTGCGCCAGAGGAAGATGAACGACACGTTTTGTTGGACCAGAAACTAAGAAAACTACCAAAATAAGGTCAGTTAAATGAACCGTATTCCTCTGAGCTTTAATTCCTAAAGGTTTGCTTTTTATGTTTTGATGTTGAAATCACTGTTTTGATGGCAAATTTGGGTGTACTGTTTTTTTTTATATTGGGGGTGCGGTTTATATTCCGGTGTGGCTTATATGTTAATGTTCGCAGATTTCTTTTTAAAAATGGCAGGTGCGGCTTATAGTCCGGTGCGGCTTATAGTCCGAAAAATACGGTACTCTTCTGGCTAATAAATGTGCTCTTGCTTGTAAAGTTTTTTATAACCACCATAGTGTGTCATATTTTGTTGATATAATATGATGTTTTTTTCCCTCATCTAACTCCTGTGGTATTTTTGTTTTTCTTTTTAAAAGGTAGTGCGACCCCTGCTGGTTGCTGCATGACCTGATCACCTGTTCCCACATGTTTTTGTCATTTGTGTCTTCTTGAATGGGTGTTCTTAAATATAATTTCATTGTGCTGCATACAATGACAATAAAAGCATCAATCAATCAATCAATCAATCAATCAATCAATCAATCAATCAATCAATCAATCAATCAATCAATCAATCAATCAATCAATCAAGTACCATGAGTTCTTTTAGTTAAACATAAATGTGTTAGGTATCTACAGAAATGTCAGAATCTTGGCTACAAGCTGGGAAAAACATTTCTAAGAATAACCATGACAGTTAAAATTACAAGCAGATGAAGATAAAACTATGAAAGTGAAAATAAAATTGGTTTAAAAATTTGGCAAGTCAGANACTCTAAGTTCTTTTAGTTAAACAGACATGTTTGGTATCTACAGAAACATCAGAATCTTGGCTACAAGCTGGTAAAAACCATTTCTAAGAACACTCAAGACAATTAAAACTACAAGCAGTTGAAGATAAAATGAAGAAAGTGAAGTTTAAAAATTTGGCAAGTCAGAGATGTCAAAATATTAGTGTCAAACAGGAGTCATAATGTGTTCTTTTTGTTTTTGATAATATTTAATTATCACTACTTTTATAGGGTTCTGTTGTATCCATGATTAAATGCAGCAAAATAAACTATTTCAAAAGGTAACAGATGATCTTTGCAATACTTAGTTTATTTACATAATGGTGGTAAATAAGAGGCATAATGTGTTATTTTTGTTTTTGATGTCTAAATATCACTACTTTTATAGGGTTCTGTTGTAACCATGATTAAATGCAGCAAAATAAACTATTTCAAAAGGTAACAGATGATCTTTGCAATACTTAGTTTATTTACATAATGACTTTAATTGCTGGATGTTTGGCTCCTGAGCCATTGGTCTGCAGTAACTGGCCCCCGTGGCAAGTTAGTTGAAAAGCCCCAGTCATTCAGTTGTGGCACCTAAATTAAAACATTTATGGTACATTTTACTCATAATCAAACAGAAATATAACTTTCATGCTGTAAGAAACAAAAGAAAATACTATAAAGCCACTCTTTATTCTTTTTCTTCTGGGTTTGTTGAGACAAGACTAACTGTGATTGTGCCTACTGGAGAATGTTTTTAATGCTGCTGGTTGCATGACAGAGGATTTAAATGTCTCGGGTTTTTTTCTCAGTCTGTTTGCTTATTAGATTATTGTTGCATCACCACAGAGCCTCATCCGATTCTCTTGTCTCACTCCTGTAGCCACAAACCCAGCTGCTGTGTCGAGTCAGGATAAATAATGCTTTGGTAGGAATTAGTTTCACACTCAGGTGCTTCAGTTCCATTCCACGGCAGCTTCCTGATAACAAGCGTACTGTATGCAGCGTCCACCACGTGTTATCTCTAACCCCGCTCAGGTAATTGATTTTACGGGTGGAGCTATGCTACAAAATATCTGAGATCTGGGCATTTAAAAGGATACAGAATGGGTTTCCTGCTTTACATCATCTGTTTATGATGAAAACAATTTGAAAATGTAATTGGCAGCATTGACTCTGGAAGATGAAAGTCCTCTCTCCAAAGTCAGGCAATAGAAACGATCTTATTCCAGA